CAGCAGATTTTAATTCCTCTTTTAACTGTATTCTTTCCCTTTCATATGCCCTACAGTTAATCAGCACATGCCAGACAGTTTCTGGAAGTCCACAGTGATTACATTGACCAGATTCATGTTTTCCTATCATCTGGAGTGATTTATTAAGAGTAGAGTGTCCAATTCTCAATGGAGATATAACTGTATCATCCCTTCTATTATCATAAGCAGTTCTTACATGGCATACCTGTTTATATATATTATACAAATGCCGCCCTTTGTTACCTTTATCCCTTGCCATATCTTTCTGACAGCTACTTTAATTAAACATTTAATTTCTGATTTACTCAAGGGTATATGTATGTCGATATTTGTGTGCTTAAGAGCCTGTTTCATCTTGTCTACCTCTTCATTTCCTTCCACTCCCACATGAGCAGGCACCCATAAAAATTCTGCTATAATACTCAGTTGCCGTATTCGGTACAAACTTTGCAGTACTTCTAATAAAATATCTTGTCTCTAGTAGCTCCCCAGTCCACTCCTGCCAAGCACCTCAGCACATTGTCTCCTTTCTTACATTGATCAACTAACTTCTGAATATGTGACCCAAATTTTAATTTGGAATCCATTCATACTCCCAGATATCTTATTAGTGAGGTATATATCCCGTCCAAATATTGTCCACAAGATGGAGACAAATGCACACCAAATAATACAAAATAAAAGCATATAGGGCCTGGTTTTGCAGACAGGGTTCAGATTAAGCCAGGAGAAGGCCTTTGTTAAATTAGGACATTTAAATGGCTTTCATAAATGTGCCATACGCAAACCTGTACTCAAGGCTGATTGCAGGGCTGAAAATAATTACTGGTGTGCATCTTGAGACAAAACAATGGCACTGACATATTTTAATATATGTCAGTGCAAATTGCTTTTAGTTAGGACAGCTCGAACATGCATTTTAGTCTAAATAATATTATAATATATAATGTTTTATCTGGATAAGAGAGGGGATTGTGATTGATGAATACTTATAGACAGAATTCTGAAAAGACAGAATGTTTCGATAACCGATAACTTTTTAATAGTTGAGTAAAAACATGTCTTATACTTAGTTATGTAAACAACATTAAGCATTAAACATTAAATATGTTAAATAATTTTTAAAAACAATTACCTATATTAACTGAGCAAAAAAAACTTTTACATGTCATATAAACACCAGTATTTGCAGTAAAAAAGCATTTTATTTTTACACCCAAATATCAATATTTTAGTTTTGTCAATATTTCAATAATCCAGATGGTTAGTCTGTTTGTGGAGACCTTCAGAGAAAATGCATGCCAGGCCAAATAATTTCTAACATTAGCATTAACATGCATATTTTTAATAAATTTAAATTCATTCAAGTATCAAGGTGCTTGAGTCATTGCAGCCACAGGTATAAGTGGAAATGAGAATCTTAAAGGCCTTCTGAAAGCGAGGATAGAAGAAACCATAGATCAATGGATTACAAGTGGAGTTAAAGTATCCAAACCAAACCAAAGCATCAAAAACATCACCAGGAGTCACGAAATTGAGGAAAGGATCAACAGCAGTGGCGGTAAAAAAAGGCAGCCAGCAGAGATAAAAAACACCCATGACAATGGCCAGAGTTTTAGCTGCTTTTCCTTCTCTTTGAGCAGAGCCTTGGCTCTTCAACCCTCCAGTCACTCTTTCAGACATAACCTTTGCGTGTTTGCGTGCAACATAGAAGATATTCATATACAGAGAGCTCATGATCGTCCCGGGAAGAAAGAATGTGAGAAGTGAACAAATAAGACCCCATTGTTTGTTAAAAAACAAAACACAACTTCCCACACAGTAAACTTGCATGATGAACGACTCCAAGCCAATTTTGTTTATCCCTGAAAACACAATAGAAAAGCTGTACAGAAATGAAAAAAGCCACGTGAAGGTAGTAAATACAGTCACAATGTTGTTTGTGACCCTCATTTTGTACCTCAGGGGGTCACAAATGGCCCAGTACCTGTCGACAGATATTAAACTGAGATGTATTAAAGAAGAGATGCTGAAAGTCATGTCCAAACTAGAATGCACTTTACACACAAAATCTCCCAGATACCAGCAGCCTTCAACAGATCGCACCATGCTGTACGGCATGACCAAAGAGCCTAGGAGACAGTCGCTGGCTGCCAAAGAGCGAACGATCAGATGAGTTGGAGACTGAAGCTGTTTGAAGTGAGAGATGGAGATGATGATCAGCAGGTTCCCAAAAACTGTTGTGAGGATCATCAGCACCATTAAAACATACATCGCCACTTTAAGTGCAGGGAGGCGGTGAGCTCTGGGACAGGAGTCAGGCAGGAGTGGATAGCAGAAAAACACATTCTCAGGGTAAATGTCAGTTTCATTTGAAGTCATTACTAAGATATAATTTGATATGCAAGATCAAAACACAATATTTCCTTTGTAAATGTAAAAAATTAAATCACACAGATAAGTCTGAAGGGAATCAACCACAGTCAGAGAGAGCAAAATACAAAGAACATGATCATATATACAGTACATGCACATAAGAAACTACATATATGGAGTCAGAAGCCTAGTTTGGGTTATATATGTACTCAAGAGTCCAAAACGGGTAACGCCCTTACTCGCCATAAACATATTTGAATATGCAAAACATGGTGCAGTAACTGTGGAAACTGTGATACACTGAGTGACCCCAGGTGGTGACAAAAAAAAAAAAATAATTCATTCATTCATTCATTCAGTTTTATTTGTTCATTTCCAATTTATTCATAAGGTTAATATCAGAAGCGTTGCTATACTTTTTACTGGGCAACGAGTGCAGTTAAATACTGCTGTGACCGAGTAAAATATTAACGTACTGATCCTTGTCTGATGATGGCGCATATCGACCTGAGAGTCGTTTTTCTTTATAATATTTCAGCTTTCATGTTGCTATCAGCTGTTTAAACTAATGATGCCAGATTCGCAAACAAATCACTCTTTTGATCTAATCGGCCAACGGATTGCAAAAAGATTTGAATTTATTTGTGATTCAATTTGATTCTTTCAGAGAGTTCACTCACACGCTGAATCATTTGCAGCGTTTTTTTTCCACGAGTAACTTTATAAGACAGAAAACAAAAAGAGTGTTGGATGAGGTGATATTTACCAACAGTTCGTTGTAAGAAAACTTGCACATGACCTCCATCGTTTGTCAGCACCGAAGCCAATGTGCGTGTAGATTGTGAACGATTCTCTACTGCAAGGAGACAATTATATGGTGGCCAGAGAGCTCAACGCCCGAAAAATAGAAAAAGCACCAGCAAATTAAGAAAACATCTTCATCAGTTTGACAGCACATGTGCTGCAAATACTCGCAACACAATCAAATACAAAAACACACTGCAAATGCTCACAACACAAACAAAGAAACGCGCTGCAAATACTCACAACACAACCAAATAACGAAATGCGCTGCAAAAACAGAAACGCGCCGAAAATGCTCACAACACAACCAAATAAAGAAATGCACTGCAAATACTCACAACACAAACAAATAAAGAAACGCGCTGCAAATTCTCACAACACAACCAAATAAAGAAACACGCTGCAAATGCTCACAACACAACCAAATAAAGAAACGCACTGCAAAAGAGAAACGTGCTGCAAATGCTCACAACACAACCAAACAAAGAAGCGCGCTGCAAAAACAGAAACGCGCCGCAAATACTCACACACAAACTTTATTTTTTTATTTGGTTGTGTCGTGAGCATTTACGGTGCGTTTATGTTTTTGCAGCGTGTTTCTTTATTTGTTTGTGTTGTGAATATTTGCAGCGCTTTTCTTTATTTGGTTGTGTTGTGAGTATTTGCAGCGCATTTCTTTATTTGGTTGTGTTGTGAGTATTGCAGTGCATGTGTTGTCAAATTGATGAAGATGTTTTCTTAATGTGCAGGTGTTTTTTTCTATTTGCATGTTTGCAGCGCATTTCTGTTTTTGCAGCGTGCTTCTTTATTTGATTGTGTTGTGAGCATTTGCAGCGCATTTCTTTGTTTGTGTTGTGAGTATTTGCAGCACGTTTCTTTATTTAGTTGTGTTGTGAGTATTTGCAGCGCGTTTCTGTTTTTGCAGCGCGTTTCTTTATTTGGTTGTGTTGTGAGTATTTGCAGCGCATTTCTGTTTTTGCAGCGCATTTCTTTATTTGTTTGTTGTGAGTATTTGCAGCGCGTTTCTTTATTTGTTTGTGTTGTGAGTATTTGCAGCACGTTTCTTTATTTGGTTGTGTTGTGAGTATTTGCAGCGCATTTCTGTTTTTGCAGCGCGCTTCTTTATTTGATTGTGTTGTGAGCATTTGCAGCGCATTTCTTTGTGTTGTGAGTATTTGCAGCACGTTTCTTTATCTGGTTGTGTTGTGAGTATTTGCAGCGCGTTTCTGTTTTTGCAGCGCGTTTCTTTATTTGTTTGTGTTGTGAGTATTTGCGGTGCGTTTCTGTTTTTGCAATGCAATTCTTTAATTGGAAGTGTTGTGTTACAATTATGTCCTGATATCCATACTACTATTAAAATATAAGGACACTTTATGATGAGGGGCCTGTGCTCCAGTACTTATGAAAGCCTAGTTAATACTGTGTGAGCACAAAACAAATTTGGCCTGATTATGGCTGGTTTGAATTCAGTAGGATTTGTATTATTAATGGTTTTGAAGTGGACTGTTAATTTGCATATTAATCTTTAGAAACACATTGTAATCCTTTCTTAATATTAATATGATGTATGCTGGTACACTTTTAATCTTTTTCTCCTTTTCTAATTTAATTCTGTAGAACTACATAATGGTGATACCCAGTCACAGACACGTTGGAAAAAGTGCTTCAAGCGTTATTTCATTCAGTACGCTACTCTACTTTAAATTCGGTTATTTGAACATATCATAACAGATATGTTCCAATGTTAACTGACCTCATCAAAGCATGTATAAGCTGTGTGTTGTTTAAAATATTAAACACGGGAGACACAAGTTCGAATCCCGCTCGAGCCTCAAATTCATTACATCACTTGCAACAAAACTAGAAGTTGTCCATAAAAATAGAAAATGTTTTTCCAAGTTTAATTAAGATACTTCAATTTTCCAGTTTATTAAATGCCTGTTAAAGGGTTAGTTCACTCAAAAATGAAAATTAGCCCATAAATTACTTATGATGACGTATGAGTTCAGCGCTGCGCATGCGCCGGTGAGCCTCATGAAAACCAATGTTTGTTAACAGGAGCAAAGGAAGCAAAGTTTCCTTACTTTTGCAAAGGAATTCTAATAAGTGACCGTTGTTTTGTTTTGATCCTTCTGCTGCGCTTCCGCGTTCGTCACTTCTGAGCGGCGCATGCGCAAAGCTGACTTCATACGTCATCCGCCCGGAGCTGCTTCCGTTGACAACAGTGAGCGCAAGCTACATTAAAGTGATTATTACG